CGTAAATTGACTGTATCCATGTCAGCGTCCTGGTTATGACGTTGTACTATAGCTTTACAAGATGTTACCACCGGGGAAGCTGGGTGACAGGGAGATGTGATTGCTCTCTGTTATTTCTTACAACAGCATGTGAATCCACATTTATCTCAAAATAAAAGTTAAAGAAGCGTGAAGCTCTGGCCCAGCATCTCCAGTCCAGGAGAAATGACTCGTGTACCCACCAAAGACATTCACTAGAATGCTCGCAGAAGTTCTGTTAATAACTTCCGGCCTGAGACGGAAACGAGTCACGTGTCCACTAACAGGTGAGTGGACGAACTGTGGAAGGTTCCTACAAAGGTAGAAGTTTTAACAATTAAAAAAAAAAAAAGCAAATCATTGGTCTACACAACAGTATGGATGAATCTCAAAAAGATCATGCTGATCAAAGAAGTTGATAGAAAAAAATCACATGCTGAAGGATCCCATTTTTACGAAGTTCAGAGACGGGCAGAACTAATCTACGGTGACGGAAATCAGGTGACTGGTACCTGGAGTGGGGGTATTGAGGATACTGTCTGGGAAAGGGCCCAGGGCAACCTGGCAGGGGGTGGGACTGTACTTGACCTTGACCTAGGATAGCCTCACGGGTGTAGACGTAAGTATGAACCCAGTGTGTGCTCCACGTGAGGTGTGTGCATGTTACTTAATCATATGGTAAAGCTCAACTTAAAAAAATAATTTTCAATGGTTTTTCAATGAGTGAGAAAAGAGGGGAGAGGCTGAGGAAGTCTGTGATTAAGGAAAAACGAACCCAGACCAGGAAGTGACTTGGCTGCTGGGACCCGTACCTGTTTCCAGGGCCCCAGGAGGCCCCAGAGGAAAGGAAGCATCCTTCAGATTCCCAGGCAAAAGTCCCGGCCGGTGACAGGGCAGGCGGGGCAGTGAAACTCCATCCGTGGACGCAGGCCCAGCCTCCCCGACCTGCAGGAATGCCCAGGCTGCCACAGGTCTCGGCCTGGACTTGCAAGCTCTCGGGGTGAGGCCAGGGTGGGGGAACCCAGCCCACTAGGGCTCTGGATGGACACCCGGCAGCAGGAGGGGGCTCCGTGGGAAGGAGAGGAAAAGCTAATCCCTGGAGAAATACCCAGGTCTGCCTCGGGCTGCTGGCACGATGCAGACAACTAATAAATGTCTGCTGAACTGCAGTGAATTCCCAGAGCACGGAGACATTCAACGGCTCAGCCCCGTTCTGGGGGAGCTGCCCTGTGCATTGACTCACTGATTGATTAATGATCTGACTTTGTGGAATAGTTTATAAAGCGCTCTAACAACTAAAACTCAGGGTTCAGATCCGGCTCCGCCTCTCAATAGCTGTGTGACCTTGGGCAAATTACTTAACCTCTCTGTGCCTTCATTTCTTCAACTAAAAAATGGGAATGATGATTAGGTGAGTTAATACACGTAAAGCTCTTAGAACAGCGCCTGGCACACCGTAAGTGTAAGTTACGTAGCCAGCTGGCGGTACAGGCGGGTCTCAAATCCATCTCCATCTTGAAAGCTGTGCGGTCCACTAGGGTAGCCAGCAGCCACCCACCACGATTGGGCATGTGGAATGTGGCTAACGCAAAATGGGATGTGCTGGATTTCTAAGACTTCCTATGAACAAAAAGTGTAAAGTATCTCACTCAGAATGTTTTAGATGGATTACGCATTGAAATGATTATATTTGCGTATATTGGAGATAATGAAATATATTATTAAAATAAATTTCGCCCGTTTGTTCTTTTTTTTTTTTTTTTAAAGTTTGACATCACACCAGCAGCCCACGTTTGTGGCCCGTCTTAGATTTCTGTTGGATGGCGCTGCCCTGGAGAATTCTGTCTCTGACAGCCCCTCTTCTCCAAATCTGAACTTTATTCTCCCCTATTTAAGCCTCTCTCTTTCCTCCACAAGGAGCTCAGTCCCAGAATTGTCACATCTACCAACACTTGCCCCTCTGAATAATAGTGCCCCAATTTCTGGTGATAACAGGGTGTCGTTCCCCAGAATAAGGGGTTCGGCCAGCAGTGCCTTCTGCCCACAGAGAAGAAAGGGGAATTGGTGCCCTTGGCAGGTAGCTGGGAGGACAGTGGCCGCGCAGGGGTCGTCTGTTACACTTGAGTCTCGGAATGTAATCTTGAAGTTGGAAGAAACCTGGCAGGTCATCGGGTCCAAACTCCTCATTTTCAGATTGAGACTCAAGGCATGACGAGGTCTCAGGGAGAGTCAGAGCTGGAGCTGGGAGGGCCGGACTCAGCACTGCTGCTCCCGGGCACGGCTGGGGACAGGGCTGTGACTTTCCACTCTCCTCTCCTGGCACCTGTCTGACCTCTGAGAGGTCCTCGGTGGCCAACTAAGGCAGACAGAGAAAACGCCTCTAGTCGTGCTGCCTTTCAGGGCCCGACAACTAGGTGGGGGGATTTGCACAGGGAGCGAGAATGCGGTTGGCTCGGAGCCGCAGGCCCACCTCGAGGCCACCATGCGGGCTCCTGCGGGACAGCCAGGATCGCCTGGGGCTTCCACGCCCGTGTCTGTTCCCATCCCTGCAGACAGCCTGGAGAGACCAGCCCAGCCCGTGTTCTCGGCCCCGCTTAGGGATGAGAAACCGAGGTGGGGAAGGCCAGTAGCTCAGTGGCGCCCAGCACAGGCCATTTGGAAGGTTGGGACTAAAGCCACGTCCTCCAGCCAGACCACGTGGGAAGAAGGAGCTCCCCTGAGCAAAGCCAGGGCGGGGATGCAGGGAGAGGGCAGGGCTCTGCTCCCACCCCTGCAAAGTCTCAGCTGGGCTCTGGTTCCTCCCACCACACCCTCCAGCCTCACACCTTTCCCACGGTCCACCTGTCACCCCCCTCTCTGTAGGCCGCTTTTGGGTAGTACTTGAGAATAGGAACCACCTGGGTTCAAATCCCAGCTCCAGCTCAGCTGGCTCTGGGAGCTTAGGCAAGTTACTCAACCTCTCTGTGCCTTCACGTTCTCATCTGTAAAATGGGAGGACTGCCTGCCCCCATTACGGGGCTGCCATGAGACGCTCACCCACTTTGAGTTGTGCCAGCACAGGCTTGGGTACATTTCAGCTGTCACTTCTCCTCCTGTTGTTACCATGGTCTCCACAGGGCCGCGTCACAGGCAGCAGAACTCCCAAGCCCCCCTCCTGGACTAGTCCTCCAAGGCCGCATCAGGAGGCCGGGCCCGGCTTTGCTGGGTCCTCTGCTCAGGGCCACACACGTGGCAGACGGAGATCCGGGGAGCTGGTGAGCTGCTCCCTGCCGTCGTGTGTGCACATATGTTGGACCCCTCCATGTGCCAGAGAGGCGAATGCGGTGGGGGCCAGAGGGCCCGTCAAATACAGCAGCCAGCAGAGGTGGCTGCCCCCACCCCCGGGAGGGCGGGCGGCTGGCCCCACGCCCTCCATTCTCACCAGCCCTAGCCCCTGGCTCCCTTGCCTGCTGGGCAAGCAGACCCCTTGACAGAGCGCAAACTGATCCACGTGATCCCCAAGAGGTCCCCTCCCTGTTCCAGCAACGACTCCGCATGGACAAGGGCTTCTGGGGACAGCAGTTTAGCCAACAGGGGCTTGGGAAGACCGCAGGACTCCACTGAATTCTGCCACTAAGCTGCCCCTTGGCCTCTCTGTGCCTCGGTTTCCCCATCTGTGAGGGACGGGAGTCTGGACCTGATGCTCTCTGAGGTCCTCACCCAACACTCGCCGATTGGATAAAGCATTAAAACAAAGAGCTATGGATGGAGGTTGGTGCTTCCCAGGCTGCTGCCGGGCCCTGGGCCAGGGGATACCCGCCAGACTCCACAGGGAAACAGATGGGGACAGTCCAATGGGCCGCGTGGTGAGGGCAGGCCAGACGAGGCCGGGCAGGCTGGCTCCAGGCAGACGGCCTCATGGTCAGCCGGGCAGCCGGGAGCTGTCAGCAGGATGGGGCATTCAGGGGGACCCAGGCCTCCAAGTCTGAGGTGCCCCTCCGCCCCTCCCCTGGGGTTCTCCCTCCCTCCAGGAATGAAGGCCGCGGCCGCGGGAGGACCACGTCCCCGAGTGACCCCACCCAGCCTCAGGACCAGGGCTGCGAGGCGCTGGCAGCGCATGAAACTGTGCAGCGGGGCCGTGGGCCACCCACGAACCAGCAGCCTCAGAGGGCTCCCTTCACGCCCCATCTTCGGCCTCAGCCTCGCCCCTCCGTGGCCGAGAGCTGGCAGGCTAGCGGTGGGGTTCAGAGGGCAGCCGGAGAGCCCACGTGGGAGCAGAGGAAAGTACGATGCGTGGCCATGCAGGCTGCCCCCCTGGGCCAAGTCCCGGCCCCTCTGCTCCCAGCTGCATCACGTCCAGCAAGATACGTCCCTTCCCGAGCCTCGATTTCTCCATATGTAAAATGGGCTGATGAGAGTACCTTGCTCTGAAGGACGATGTGCGGCCGACACCAGGAAATGAGATGGAAGCTTTCACTAAAAGATGGCTGAAGTGACCTGATGATAAGAAAAGGAAAAAAAAAAAAAAGAAAGATGATCTGATCCTTCTGTTCCTTTAAGAATGGCAACCCCCCCGGAAATCAGGAAAGACCCCTGGTTTGGGGACCCCGAGTCCTACCAGAAGGAGGTCCTTCCCTGGGCCCATGGAGGGAAGCCTATAGTTACCCCACCAGGTGGCCAGCCCTTTAGCATGTCCTCAGAAATCAGGTGTTTTCCGACTGGAAAGTTTCCATTATCTTTAAATCCGATACTGGGGGCGCTAACATCACACATTTAGCCTCTGTGACTCACGAGCCGTCGGCAGGGAAGCGCTGTTGGGACTTGAACGAGGGCGGGCAGAGATTTCCAAAGATCAGGGTGGGTTTCTTTAAGCCTCTAAAAAGTTCTCATTTCATAACCAGCTGACATACACATAAAGGAGCGATATTTTTCCAAGGAAACATCTCACAGCCAGGGCGAGGCTCTCTGCCCTACCGATACCTTTGATCCCCACGTCAGGCTGCTAGCAGGGGCCTCACCGGGAGGGAAGGTGCCGTCCCCTCCTGGCGACCAAGATGTTTGTTTCTTTGGGTTCCTACCGACGAGTCACGGGCTGCTGATTTTCTTGGCCATGTCCAAGCCTGAGGATGGTGCTGGGTAGCCTCAGGGACTAAGGAAGGCCAACGGAATTGAGGTGCCAGGTGCCAGAAATCCGACCCCACTGCCCGAAGCTGCTTACACCCACTCACCATTGCTTACAGCCAATGCCTCGCCCTGACACAAGCTCACAGCACGCCAGGCTCCATGCCTAAAGTAGGAGGTCTGCTCGCATCCCCACAGAGACCACTCAGGTAGGTATTCTTATGCCCATTTTGCAGATAGGGAAACTGAGGCTCAGAGAGGTGAAACAGCATGCCCAAGATTTCACTTCTACAAAGCGGGGGAGGCAAGATTTGAACCCATGTCTGTCTGGCTCCAGCATCTTCCCCTTTCATCACGCTTCTGCCTCCTCAACTTAATTCACCAAGAGTTATTCAGCAATGATGCTGCCCAGTCACTATAGGGGACAGAATGAGGGCAAGCATGGTCCCAATCCTAAAGGAACCTGCGACCGGCTGAGGAGTAAGAGAATGAATGAATGAGCGAGTGAATGAATGAACGAATGAGGAGTGAGAGATGGCAGGAGGATGAACCAGTCTGAGGATGCACCGTCGTGCTGACACCACTCTGGGCACCAGAGGCTGCCACCAGCTGGGGACCTCTGAGAAGCCGCATGGAATGCAGCTCTCGCGAGTGTCAGCCCAAGACATGGAAAAGGGGGAGGTTTGCCCACCAGCTGCATCCCCCATCCCCATGGTCAAGGGTGGCCTTCACACTTCTAGGCTTGTGCGTGAGTCAGGTGGCCGAGAAGCCCAGAGCAGAAAGGGCAGACGTGGGGGCAGGCAAGAGGAGACACTGACAGGTCCCCCGTGCATGCAGCTGGTTGAAAAAGTGAGTTGAGACAACGGGAGGCAGGACACAAGAGGAATCTGGTACAAGACAGTCCACGTGTACATGAAATCGGACTTTGGAAACACAGGGATGGGTGTTCTCTGCACTTGTTTTCATGTCCTCTCTAGTAAATCTCCTCTCTCAGCATTGAAGGTGAGTGGACCTAGCACAACACATGCTCAACAAATAGATGGGGGAAAATGGATGGATGGGTGGGTGGATGGATGGAAGGATGGATGAATGGGCATGTTGGTTGGTGGTTGGGTATGTGGGTGGATAGGTGCATGCATGGCCATGTGGATAAGTGGAGGGATGAGTAGATGGATGGGTGGATGGATGGGTAGGTGGATGGATGGATGGATGGATGGGCATGTGGGTGGGTGGGTGGGTGGGTAATTAGATGGATGGACGGTTGGGTGGTAGAGCCCAGATTCCTTCTGCTGCTACTAGCCCACCCACTTCTTCACCGGGAATGGATCCAACAAACAAGATGGGATTCTGAGCCAGGTTGGAGCTGAAAAACCAGCCAGACACCCTGAGACAAGCCTTTGTGTCAGATGTATTGGGGAAGCTGGGAGGTGGGAGGTGGCGCCCAGCCAGGAGACGCAAGCTGTCTCCCGTTGGCCTGGCAGGAAGCCTCCCAGCTCTGGAGCACACGAGCCAGGCTTTGGATCCTGGCTCCCTTCCTTCCAGGCTGGTTGAATGACCTTGGGCTAGTCACACAACTTGGGGTCTTGGTTTCCTCATGTATAAATAAGAATCAGAGGAACTCACACCCTCAGCTGTCTCTGCTGTGATAGTGTCCCCCTAGGGGGAAATTGTCATAATTGATAAACCTGGAAGCTTATTCTCTGGGTGAAGAAACCAGACCTTAGAATGGAGAAATTCTCCGACGTCTCAGCCAGGGCTAAAACTTCCAGTCATGGTGGCGGAACAGGGCAGTGGAATTTGGAGCCCTCTGCCGTGACCCCTGATATAACACAGACTAGGCCAAGGTGTTCGTGTAACGTTCAGGGAGACCCTGAAACCTACTCCAAGGTTTGGCTGGCCCTGTGTTCTGAGAACACCTCCGGAGGTTGCCTGTCTGTGGATGGAAGGGGGCTGAATCACTAAGGGGCACAACCCAGGGACGTTCTCAGAAAACGGGGAGAGCCGTCCACTCCCCAAGTGGAATATGCCAAAGGGGCATTGCAAGGGGAACAAGGTACACCTTCCATTGAAGGAAGAAAGGAAGTAGTTGATTGGATGGTTGGTTGGTTGTTGGTTGGCTGGCTAGTTTGTCCATCCATCAGTAACTTAGTGAATGACTAGCTTGTAGCCTGGTCCACCAGGCAATGCTAAGTCTCTCTCTGAGGTCCCACCTCCAATATGTCCCTCTGGGTTCATCCTCCCTCAGGGCCAGACTGAAACACATCACTGCCCTGCCCTAACCTTCAAGAATCTCCAGCGTCCACAGGACAAAATCCAAGGGCCTCCCCTGGACATGCAAAGCTTCCTGCAAAGGAGCCCCCCAGCCCCCTAGCCCACCCCCATGTCAGCCCTACTTCAGGGTTCCTGGCCTTGGTTCACACCGTCCTCTCAACCCAAGTGTCTTCTTTCCGTCCGCCACGCGTCTGAGTCCTTCTTACAGAACGAAACGCATCCAACACGAGTCACGCTTCCAGGAGTAGCTGAAGATGGTGAGGCCACCGAACTCCTGCCATTCCTACTACAACGATAGGCACATAGCGACCTGTCCAGGCACTTTGCTCGCAGGTTTCTGTTTCCCAACTATATACACGTGCAGAAGACAGGGAAAAAGAAAGGACCAAGTTACGAGTGGTTATGAACCCTGAAGTCTGCCAGAATGGCTTCATCGACCCATCCGTTCCTTCATACCCAGGCATTCAGTCATTCAGAGAACTCTTACTGCTTCCTGGGCAAACATGCTGGTAGCAGGAAAGTCCACGGGCTCCCACCCCAGCGGCCCCACGGGTACAAGCACCATTTGGAGTCACAAAACCGACGATGGGACTTTGGTTCTGGCTCCCTTCCATCACGCCAGGGCCTGGGCAGGTCACCGGGGGCAGGGGCCACAAGCCGGAGATAAGCCAGTGGTCAAGCTCTGTAGCCGTGATTACGCACCCGCCGCTCTGAGCCTGTTTCCCACCGGTGAAGGGGTGACAGCAGCCCGTGTCTCCCAGCAGTGATGGGAGGACAGACCTCCTCGGCTCAAAGAGGGAAACCTGCCAATTGAAAACAGCCACCTGCTCCTTCAAAAAGGATTCTTAGTCTCCTTGGCATTGGGTGTTGTCTGCGCGTCCGGGGGCCACGACAACAAAGGGCCACAGACCTGCTGGCTTCAAACAAGAGAAATCGATTCTCTCACAGCTCTGGAGTCAAGGTGTTGGCAGGGCCTCGCTCCCTCCAAAGGCTCCAGGGGAGGGTCCTGCCTGCCTCTTTCAGCCTCTGGGGTCTCCAGGCGTCCCTGGCTGTGGCCGCATCCCTCCAGTCTCTGTCTCCGTCGTCCCATGGCCTCCTCTGTGTCATCTTCGCTGCTTCTGTCCTTTATAAGGACACTGATTGGATGTAGGACCCTTCCTCTTCCAGGAAGGTCACATCCTGAGATCCTTATTTTAACTACGTCTACAAAGACCCTATTTCCAAATAAGCTCTCATTCTGAGGGTCCAAGTATATATGAACTGGGGGGGACACGATTCCATCCAGCACAGACACTCAGGCAGAGATGGGCAAGTGGCCCCTCTGTGTGTCACGGAGCCATCGAGGGACCCCCGCTCTTCCACTGGTGCTGAGGCCCCCTCCTGGCCCACCTAGACAGACGCCTCCAGCTTCACGGCTCCCCAAGGCCTGTGCAATGCACATGCACCATGCCTGGCGCTGCCTTTTACCCTAGACGTTCCTCTAGGAACGGAGCCAGACAGACTCAGAGTGAGGAGACAGGTGAAAGAGCCAGGCAGCACCAGGTGGAAACCGCAGGATGGGGCGAGCGCTGGCCACACGCCCACCACCGAGTGCCAAGGGGAGTGACGGCCGCTGCCAGGCGTGGGGGTGGGAAATCAAGGCAGCATCACAGCATCGGGGAGCCTTGGGGGCAACCCTTAAGGAAGAGTGGGGTTCCTCCTGGTAGGCCTGGTGGGCGAGGGTCACCCCAGGCGCCAAGCCACCTGAGCCACATGCTCAGGGCTGGGATGGTGGACGCAGAGCACGTAGCAGGGAAAGGGCCGGAGAAGACAGGCTGCTGCGCAAAGGATGTGGGCTTGATCTTGGGAAGAGGCTCAGAGCCTCTCGCACCATCCCTCGGCTGGCCACGATCTGGGCAGGGGATGGGGACAGCGCAGGGGGACTGTACCAGAGGCAGCGCGCATGTGAGCCGGGCTGGTTGCCCCGTGCTCTCCAGTATCCAGCGGGGAGGTGAGGAGGGATAATCCCCTCGGGGGGACCGGAGTTGCCTGCAGCCGGGATGCGGGTCCTCGAGCGCTGGGCAGAAGGTCGCACACGCATCATCTCCTGGACACAGGCTCTGGCGCAGAGACACGGACCCCAGTCACACACGGAGCCCCGCCATGACAAATATTTCACCAGGAGACTTCCTCTGGGAGGGGGAGAAATACCCAAAGCACGCTTTGTCTTAAAACATTAATGTCCAATTCTAAATTGGGTCGGGGGACGGAGGAGGAGAAAGGAGGAAGGCAGGGGTGGGGAGCCATCACTGGGCATCATTCATAAGCCACACACTGGGCCCTTCATCAGGCCCCAAACTCACCCTTGTGGCTACGCAAAGATTTATTGAAGCCCCAGCATGGGCTCATTTATTTTCCTCCAAACCAATTTGAAAAGACCGTTTGCATCTGCCCTGGAGGAAAAAAAAAAAACCACACACACACACACACACACACAAAATGTGCTTATTTGGCAAACTTTGTTTGAAAAACCTGCTTGTCCCCAAAGAAGTAGCCGCATGTTTGGCGAGGCCAGGGGCTGTGTCTGTGGGGAGGGGATGGTGGTGGTTCGGTTCTTCCCCATCATCTGTTGGCCAGAGAAAGAGACAGAGAACTTGAACTCAGACACCATTTCTTGCACCTGGGGACCCAGAAAGGCGGGGCCCTTTGCTCGGAGATCAAGGTCCCGTTGTAGCTCTCTCTAGCCTTGCTTGTCAGGGACGTCTGTGCACAGACAGCTGCAAAACGCAAAGAAAAGTGTAAAGCCAAGCGGGGAAAAATGGACAATGAGAATTTCAAACATTAGCTAATTTTGAGGGGTGGGGTGAAAGTTCTGTCTGTCCTCTCCAGAAAAAAGAGATGTCACCCATGAAGAAACATTCACCTTTCTTCCTATCTACAATATACAAAGAGTTTTTATGAATCAATAAGAAAGAAGAACACAATAATAGAAAAATGGGCCAGGGACACAACTGGGTAATTCGAAAGAGGAAAGTATGGTCCATAAATACGGGTAACAAAATGCTTAATGTTGCCAATAATCTGAGAGATGCAACTTGAAGCACAGACAACTAACATCTTAGTTTGCACCTACCAAACCGGCAATATGCGCAAGAACGTAACAGCAGGTTAGTGAGATGGAGCAAGCAGAGGTACAGCTGGTGAAGCCCCCCTTGTCACTTTGGCCACACGCAGCCCCGCCCAGATGGGGGCGTGCTCTTTGACCCAGCAGCGCCACTTCTATGAATCCAAAGAAGTGCACAGAGGCTTGGCTCTGGGGGCCCAGGCACTGAGCCTTATCTGAAGTGTCAGCAGAAGGAGGATGGCTCCTCCCTGCGGTCTCCAGGCACACGTCTGCCCCTCGGCACAGGCAGCCTGGACTTCCAGGAAACTGTGGACGTGCGCCTCGCGGCTGGAGCGTGCGCTCCTGGTCTGGGAGCCGCAGAGATCTGAGTTAGAAGCAGTGGGTGGCAGCCACGGGGAGCAGACCACCCGTCAGGACCTGCTTTTAGAAGCAGAGAGCCTGGTCCTGGGGGGTCCCAAACAGAAATGTGTCCAGGCTTCCTTCGAACCCTGGGGCTACTCCTCAGCACAGGCCCCCTCCCCAAAGCAGACTTGTTCCCCCCAGACCAGGGCAGATCTGCCCAGCTATCACCGGAGCCCCCCACCCCTGGAACAATGAACTCAAATATCAGAACTGGAAGGTTGCATGGGGAATGCCCTGGTTGACAGATGGGGAAACTGAGGGCAGATGTTCTCCCAAGGTCATCCCGGCTCAAACCAGAGCTGGCGCCTAAGAGCCCCAGACCCTCCCCGAGCTTCCCAAACAGGGTCACCAGAGACCACGTGTGTCCCTGCTGTGAACGGGTGAGCCTCAGGTGATGGGCTCCTGCCACAGTGGGGCCCTACCCATCAGTATGAATGTCACTCAGGACCCCTCTCCTTTGTGTCAGCAAGTCCCCAGCACTGCTGGAGAGCTGGGGACATGCAGGGCAGCCAACAGGTTCCTGCCTGCGGAGAGAAGAGGTGGGAAACGGTGTCTGTGTCCAGGCCGGGGGAGCAGGATAAGGGTCTGTCCTGCTCCAGGAGGTTAGAGAGGCCTTCCCTGGGGAGGGGGTGTGGGGCTGCCTTTGAGGGTCAAGGAGGAAGCAGGTCGGGGAGACAAGGACAGAGCTTTCTGGGAAGACACCTGTGAGCCAAACTCCAGGACCAGGCTTCCACTTTCATGCGATGCCACCTGGCAGGCTTCCCTGCCCTCCTGCTAAGGGTCCCTGTGCCAACCACCCCGGGAGGAACATCCCTGGTCCTCGAATGGCCAACACTATTGCATTCTTGCTCTGATCTAGGCACTAGTGACACCTCAGAGCCTTTATCTTATAAGACTCTCGTTAGACCCATTTTACAGAGGAGAAGACTGAGGCACAGAAAGGTAAAGAGGTTTGCAAGGGCCACCAGCTGGTAAGGGGGGGAGTCAGGATGTGTCTGGCTCCAGAGGCTGTTCTTACCACCCCTACACCCCCTGCCTCGTGGTCCCTGCCCGCCCCCCGCCAACCTGAGCCATGGTCTATGGACCATAGTTCCCAGGCTCAGACTGGCCTGGAGTGGGTATGCACCTAAGCCCTTGATCTTCCCCATCACCCTGCTACATCCTTCCCATGCTCCCAGGCCCAGAGAAGGGGACCCCCTCCAGGAAGCCCATCTGGATGTCAGTCATTCAGGCCCCAAGGGTGGAGCAGGCTGAGGACCACCTGGGGCCTTGGGACGACTCGCAGGTACCTCACCAACAGGCTTTTGACTTTTCCTGTTGAAGTAGTTGAGGAACTTGGCGGCCCAGGGAGGGGTGGGAGGTACAGCCGGGAGGGTAGAGTAGAGACGAATGAGGCAGCTAGAAGCAGCTCCCTGTGCTCGGCTTGGGAACACAGTAGGCATTTAATAATGGCTCGGCAACTGACTTGCGATATCGTCCTGCCGTAAGACAGGGACACGTTCGGGGTGTATGTGAAGGCAGGGGCACCAGCTGACCGTCCCCATCAGGTAACCAGGAAAGGTGCTCGCCCCCGCCCCCTCCCTCGGAGGTCAGGGAGGAGCCCGGCAGAGGCCACAGGGTGGAGGTCAGATCCGAAGGCCAGGCTGTGGCCCCGGCGCCAGGTGCTTGTACACAGAAGGCACTCAGTCCTCGCTTGTCATACGAACAAGTGTGCTGGCTGCACCTACCCCGCCTCAGCAGAGGATGGCGGTCTGCTCACCTCTGAACCCCATCCGGTGCCCTGTGCGGGGCCTGGACACAGCGGGCACCAAAGCTACCCCCGACGGCTGAAGGGCCCCGCTCAGGGGCCTCTGCGCCCAGACCTGCAGCCACAGATGAAGGGCCTGGGCCTCGTGGGTAGGAGATGCCCGCCCCCTGCAGCCCCACCCACCCAGACACAGGCCTGTGGAAGAGAGTAGTTATTCCAAAAAACAGATCTGCCAACAACAGATGAACAAAATGTGGTCCAGTCGTACAACATAGTGGTTTGGGGCTGGCCAAAAGGTTCCTTCAGGTTTTCCATCAGATGTTATGGAAAAACCCGAATGAACCTTTTGGCCAACCCAATAGTAGGCCTTATAGAGGGAGGAGATTCTGACATAGGCTACAACGAGGATGAACCTCGAGGACAGTGTGCTCAGTGAAGCAGGCCAGTCACAGAAGGACCACCCTGTACGCGTCCACTCATCTGAGGCCCCAGAGGAGTCAAATCCGTAGAGACAGGAAGTAGGACTCTGAGCGCCAGGGGCTGGGGGTAGTTATTGCCTAAGGGGCACAGGGTTTTAGTTGGAGACAATGAACATTTTAGGTCCAGACAGTGACGATGGTTACCTGACGTCGTGAATGTATGTACTGCCACTGAGTTGCACGCTTACAAATGGTTCAAGTGATAAATATTACATCGTGTTCAATTTTACTACAATTAAAAAGAACCCAGCTCTGACCTCAAATGGGCCTCCACCAGCTAGGAGCTGTGTGGCCACAGGCAAGTTGCTGGCCCTCTCTGTTTTCTGTGTGTCTCCTCCCCTGCAGGGCTCCTGTTACCTGAGCAGGTGGGCACTAAGCGTCCACAAGTGGCGTCTAGTCTGATGACCTCGGTGGGCCTTCTCTGCATCCAGGAAGTGTGGGGTGAACCATACCCCGATCTGGGCTCCCAGGGCAGAGGGGCAGTTCTGGCCACCCCTCTGGGGCCTGTCGCTCCGTGCCTCTGGGCCTCGGTTTCCTTGACTGTCAAATGGGAAGCTTAGCATCTGTGCCGTCAAGGTCACGGGAACGGCAAGAGGTACCGGCCTGCTGCCTCGGGTGAGAAGCTCCAGAACCAGGCCCGGGGCCTCCCTCAGGGTTACAGCTCCCCGCTGCCCAAAGGCAGGGACCTTTCCCAGCAGGTCATGACCTCACTCTTACCTGTCCGGCCCTCCACCTCCTCCCTCAGGCCAGCAGCTCCTTAAGGACGGGCAGCCTGTCTGACCCACCCCTCTCTCCTAGCTCCTGGCTTACACTTGGTGCTTAATAAATGCTTGTTGCATGAACAAATGCCTCTTTTAGTTCAGCCACCCTGATCCTGACGCAGAAACACTGTGAGGTTCAGGCAGAATCCCAGGGTCCCAGCAAAGCAGGTCCCTTCCCTCAACTGGACAGTGAGCCAGAAGGTGCAGAAAGGAAGTGTTTCTTGTGCCCCCAAACTCCCACGATGGGCCAGAAGGAGAGGGCGCCCTGTGCCTGTGTCTCCAGGTGCAGACGTGGTTGGTGCTCACTGTGTCTCACTTTCCCGTTCTCCTCAGCACAGATAAACGACACTCCAAGAGAATGACCCCCCCAAAGGGAAAAGAAGCAGAAGGTGGGCAGGGAGGGAAGGAAGAAGAAAGGAAGAAAGAGAGAGAGGAAAGAAGGAAGGAAGGAGGGGGAAGGAAAGAAGGAAAGAGAGAAAGAGAGGAAGGAAAGAAGGAAGGGAGGGAGGGAGGGAGGGGAAGAGAGAAAGAAAGAAAGAGGGAGAGGAAGGGAGGAAACAAAGAGAGAGAGAGAGAGAAAGAGGAAAGAAAGAAAGAGAGAAAGAAAGAAAGAAAGGGAGAAAGAAAAGAAAGGAAGGAAGAAAGAAAAGAAAGGAAGGAAGGAAGGAAGGAAGGAAGAAAGAAAGAGAGAAAGAGAGAAAGAAAGAAAGAAAGAAAGAAAGAAAGGAAGGAAGGAAGGAAGGAAGGAAGGAAGGAAGAAAGAAAGAAAGAAAGAAAGAAAGAAAGAAAGAAAGAAAGGAAGGAAGAAAGAAAGAAAGGAAGGAAGGAAGGAAGGAAGAAAGAAAGGAAGAAAGAAAGAAAGAAAGAGAAAGAAGGAAAGAAAGAAAGAAAGGGAGGGAGGGAGGGAGGGAAGAAGGAAGGAAGGGAAGAAAGGGAGAGAAAGAGAGAGTTAAACTAGAATGAACCCAGGGCCCTCCCATCAACATGTGTTTCCCTGTGTCATTAAAACACTTTGTCTTTACAACTCAGAAAATTAAAAAAACTACCAGACCCAGGCCGTCCACATCAGTATTCATGACATCTGTCTTTTCCTATAAAACGCTCTGAATGAAACCTCCCCAGTAGAAACGACTCTCCTCCCGGCCGGCTCTCTCCTTCCCCCCTTCAAAACAGATTGCGAGACAGATGATTGCATTGTCTGGCCGCATTTCCATCTGAAAACTCCCCTTCGTGTTGGCCACTGGGCGCCCCTATTAAGGCCCGGGCACCACGGGGCCACGTGGGGTGGCAGAGCCTGTGTCTCCCGCTCCCTGGGGCCTTTCCATCGGAAGAGGAAAAAGAACCGGGCAGACAAAGGTGCGGGATATAAATTAAGCCCCGGCTTTTTAAGTTCAAACTGAATTTTCTTTATTTTTCCACAGCTGTCAGAGG